GATTCTGTTGGCCAGAGCATCACCGCTCTACCATCACAGGGTGCAGCTTTGAGCCTCAGAACCAGCGGGTGGCCTCGGTGTCTGCAGACCGCAGCATCAAGCTGTGGGACCACCGAGTCCATTAGCAGGCGTCTCACTCTGTCGGTGTCACCCAGTGGAGTTTAATCAGAGTGTTTATGGAAAAATGCTTAAAGTTGGTTTCTCTTGAGTCCTTTTCAGCTTCAGTCAAACTCAAAACCAAAGAGCGATAAATACTGAACCTGATTGGAATGGTAAAGGCCCGTATGTGACACGCCTTCTAGGATCCTGGAACCTCCCAAGGCACAACACAACACAATCAGTCACTCACGCACACATTCACACCCTGCTGGTGATGAACTACACTGTAGCCACAGCTGCCCTGGGTAACACTGACAGGCGAGGCACCACCGTCCCTCCAAACACCACCAGCAGGTGAGGGGGGTTAAGTGTCTTGCCCAATGACACAACAGCAGCGACCGACTGAGCGGGACTCGAACCTGCAACCTTCCGACTACAGGGCGAGCACTTAACTCCTGTGCCACCATCGCCCAATTTGCTTTAATTATCGTTTCATTTAATTGTTGTAAAAACATGTCAACCATGATTTTTACTCTGTCCAGAGACCAGAACAGAACCAGTCAGTCCAGTCCGGCTGTGGTGGAATCAGAATGAGCCGAGCAGAACTGAATGTCTGAAACTTGAACATTTGAAAGAAGAGTGGACTAGAACTCCTCCCGAACCAAGTGAGAGTGACGAGGTGTTGCTGAGAGTTCCTGCTGCTGGAGCTTCTGCTGGATTGTCCCCTCCGGTTCTGTTTGGGTTTCCTAGTGACTTGGGTTCACCTCACTCTCGGTTCTGGTGATTTAACGATGGCGGAATTGATTTGTTTGACCATTCAGACCAGTAAACAGTTCTCAGAGGATCTGTTGTCACGACGACTGCATGTGTATGTCTGCGTGTGGAAACTCATTACCAAAGTCCAGACTGATGACCTTTGACCCACCAACCCGGTGTGTCCTCTGTGGACTAAGCTCTGCCCAGAGGTCATGTGGCGTGTATGGATTCATCAGAACTAACAAGTTGTGTAAATCATAATTTATTCAGCTCTCTCACCTGCATACAGTCATCTCACACTCACTGGGTCATGTGACTCCAGTCTATGACATCATCTCCAGGCCTGTGATTGGTCTGAAACGGTGCTGATGCTGTGATGTCAACAGTCTCTTCTTGTGATATTGATAGCAACAAAGCTGTAACAGAAGACATCCTTCTCCTGCGGCGCCGGCTGGACTCTGTGGTGCAGTTCTGGTGACCTTCAGTCAGAATCCCATCAGACCTCAGGACAGGTCTGTCCATCAGGCTGCAGTGTTTACGACGCCTCCATGTTTGTCTGCAGTCATGGAACATCTGCATTAAACACAATCACAAAGGCTTGTTTAAGTATCCCAGTATTAGACATACAAATATATATCGTTCAACATGAAAATAAAAAGAAGTTGTTTTTTTTTGCTTTTTATAATTTTGATTTCCGCTGTTTATTTCGGTTCATTTCTCCTGTTTTCTGCGCTCATTTTGTCTCTACCTTTAAACCAATTAAGTTTAGGTTCTAATTGTTGTTTTTTTATTACACTAAGAGAAAATTCCATCAAATATTTGTTTCCTCTGAAGCGTCAATCTGTTTCTGAACAGATTTGGAGGAAAAATAGCCCCCAGAGCCGCATCGTCCTTCCTCATTTAACAAGTGGAGAAACTGTTAGGGAGTGGAGAAAACTTGAATTTAGCTCTCATGGATCCAGCAGCCACGGTTTTTACTTCTCATCTCAGCGGTGAACCTTTATGGAAGTTTGAACATTAGATGAAGAAGCCCTTTTAAAAAACAACTAAATAAAAGCTGAGAAGAAAAAGCAAAGGGAAAAGAAACTAGTAGAAGGAAACAGATAAATGAATAAGCAAATCAGTGTAGAGTATGTAAAGGAGGAAAGGCTATTTATAAAACATTTATAATGTGAAGCCATAGCGGGATATCTAAAAGCAGCTCTCAGTAACACATGACCTGCAGTTTAGTCTCATGTCTGTTTGCTGTTCTTTAAGGCACTTCATTCTTCTCACTGTACCCCTACATACCCCCAGTACCCATTCATACCCCTGGTGCACCTACATACTCCTCAATATTCCCCAGTACCCCCCCAAATCCATCCCAGTACCCCCATCACTCACAGTGCCCCTCAACACCTCCCAATATCCTCCATCCCTCCCAGTGCCCCTTCATACCCCCCATCCCTCCCAGTGCCCCTTCATACCCCCCATCCCTCCCAGTGCCCCTTCATACCCCCCATCCCTCCCAGTGCCCCTTCATACCCCCGATACCCATTCATACCCTCACATCAGAAGGTGCTCTGCAGCAGGCAGTGGCAGCCACAGCCAGCTGGACACTCTTCCTGCCTCCAGAACCAGTCCATCATGTGGCTGGTGTGTCCTCCGTGACCACAACTCAGACAGAAGTTGGACGATCCTCGGACGGCCACGTGACAGATGGCGCACTGGAAGGTCAAACGCTTGCAGACGGCACACTGAGTCCCACGAGCCTGACTCCGACAGTGACAGCAGTACACACCAAACTCTGCAGAGGCCCCACACACACACACACACACACACACGGTACAGTTCTAACGCATCAGAAAACACACACGGAGGCTTTAGAGTGAGTTGGACCATACCGATGCCTTTGTGGGCTTCTGGGGGGCTGGACGTGAACTTCAGCACATCGGCCCTCTTGTCTCTCAGACCCCAGCGGTATAAAATCTCTCCATAACATTTCTTAAAGTCATCGAACTGCAGCGTGTTGGCCGGGTCCAGCAACCTGCACAAGCAGAGGAAGTGACATCATCCTTCTGGCGTGTTATTTGGTTTTCTATTGGAGCTTACTGAGATGAAAGCAGATCTGAAGAGAAACATCTAGATGTCTCACCAACCCCGGTTTGTTTCTGGCTGAATACATTATAATCTGTCGAGTCTCAGGCAACTCTTGTGAGTTTTAAAAACTGACCCCCATCCATCAACAGCTGACAGGCTCCACACCCAGGTTAACCTCCAGACCTTCTCCCTGCTCCAGCTGTTCCCAAAGCTCCTACAGGCTCACCCCCCTCCCAAGAAGATGCTAAGGATGCTGGGTTAATTCTGAAGGGGGTTTCCATGGAAACCAGACTGATCAGACACAGCTGTTTAACCTCTTGTTCATGTCGTGCAGCTCTCGTTCCCGTTCTCGAGGATCGGTATAACCTTGGTTACCATAGCGATAGTCATCAGGGGAGGATTCACCCCAGGGTGCAGTGTGTTCTGGATCTCGGACTGAAAACAGGAAGAAGTAGAGTCTGACAGGAAACTGAGACATCAGAATGAGTTTTGTGTGTGGCGCCACGGAGTCTCACCTGTGTTCCAGGTGCTGGTTGTGGTGGAGTCCGAGGTGCTGGAGCAGGAACCCGAGGTGACTGAACTGGATGTGTAGCTGGGCTGAGACATCAACACAAACATGGAGTCATGTCCTGTAAAGACCTACAGAGACTGTAGTTCGGCCTGCTAAGTTCTGACTAGGGCTGGACAATCACTCAGTAAACATTTACATCCACCGTCAATGTGGTGCAATAGAAAAAATTGTATCAATAAAAACTTCAATAAGTTTCCTTTTTCCATTATAGCCTATCAGGTGGCTTCATACTAGAATCATTACTTACACACCTAACCAATCAAAACCATAGACTCAACGCACGCTCTGTCACCGGGCAGCAAAGTGACAAAAAAAAGGGACGTTTGAACAAGACTGGATCAGGAATTTTAAAGTGAAAGTCTGTTATGTGGATGATCCAGCAGCTGACTTACGTATCGGGAATGGTGTGATGGGAAGCGTGAGGAATGGTGCCCATATGGGAAGTAGCTGTCAGGTGGAGCCTGAGACCTGAAGACGCTGCACAGCATGGCCAGAGTCTGGACATCACTCATCTGACTATAGTGGTCCAGACTGGGGAGGGGGGGGGGGGGGGGGGATCAGTGCGCACGTACACACACACACACACACACAGATCAGGTGTAACTTGGCCGATCTGGGAGCTGCTTTAGTAAACAAACTTACAGAGTCTCCAGCAGGTGGCGTCCAAACGGGTGTCTGGCCCAGGGGGTCTCCGTGTCGGGGTCAAAGTCTGGGTTAAGATCCTGGCTGGTGGCTGCAGCTGCCAGAGCCCAAACCTGCAGGCAGGTGGAGGAGAACAGCTGAAACTATAGCGCCGCCCTGTGGTCTAACTGTTTACGTTTCTGTTTTTATTCCCATGGAGGCTAACCCCGGCTTTCCACGGGAGCCGTCAGCAGCACGTCACAGCTGCTGATAGGAACCGCTGTGGTCAACAGAACCTTTTCCACCGGAGCCGTCAGCAGCGCGAGTCGGCCGCGTCTCAGGAGCAGCATGTCGCGGCCTTTACGCGCCGGTTCTATTTCCTACGCGCGACACCTCTGAAACGGGTCAAGTTCGACATTTTTGGGGAAGGAAAGACAGGAAATCGAACGCGGAAATGGAGAGAAGCTACCGAGATTTTCAGAATAAAGAACGTACTGCCTTCCGGTTGCTTTACTTTTAAAAAAGGTTACTAACTGCGCGTCCCCATGAGAAGTTATCACCTAGCTAGCGGTCTCCTTTGTTTTTCAGGTCCGTATTGGCGATTATAAAACGGACAGAACATAAAACACAAACCATGTTGTAGTTTTCTCCTGCTTGTTGTTGATTTTACTGACGAAGTCACTGGTGTGACTTCGTGCTCGGTCGGTGACAGCTGCTCCCCTGCTGCTTCGCGTCTCGTGGGAAGGGCCAAGCAGCAGCTTACGCGAGCAAGACGTGCTGCTGCAGTAACGTGCTGCTGACGGCTCCCGTGGAAACCCGGGGTGAGCGGCCGTAATGTCAAGAGTCCAGAGAGCTAAGGAGATGATTCAGGTGAAGCTGAGCTAACCTTCGCCACGTCTCTTCGTCCAACAGTGAGCGCTGCTGCTGCGTTCTGCTGACACGTTTCCTGGATGTCGCTCATGTTCAAGCTGAGAACAAAAACAAGCCGTAGTCATGGAAACCGACATGACTGAAGATCTGCACTGATGTGATGTTGGAACAACTTTCAGGTGGAACGTTTCTGATAAGAGCTGCAGGATATTTGTGTTTTCACTTTCCTCCCGTGTTGCTCTCTGTGTGTGTGAGCATGTGTGCGCGTGCGTGTGTGTGTGTGTGCGTGTGAGTGTGTGTGTCTCACATGTAGCTCTCTCCCAGTGTTTTGTGGACCGGAAGCAGGCAGGAGATCTCCTGGATGATGACTTTCCCGGCCAGCTTGATGGGACGGTTGTAGTCCACGCCTTCTCGTTTTGTCTTAAACCGCCGGGATTTCTAAAAGCGACAGACAGACAGGAGGAGGGAGACAGCCAGCGCAGGGAGACAGAAGAGCAGCTGATTAAACGATGCCGAAATTGCAGCAGAGTCTGTTCACGCTGCGACTCAGAGACTTCAGGAATCATCAGGACTTGTGGGAGTTCAGACCACAGGTTCGCTGGCGTTCTGAATGCCAAAAAGTGATGCAGCAGAGCTTCTGAGACATGATGTCCAGCCGTCTGAGTTGTGCTGTGAACAGTTTCTGGCTTATTAACACAGGAACACTGGGCCTAACCAGCCAAATTACATCAGAAACAGTTCCGACCTGATTAAAGTTCCTGGAACTAAGCAGGAGGTGTTAGATGTTAGTGAGCATTAGAAGCTGGAGACGGGACGTTACTCATGTTACTGTTTTATCTGAAATACGAAGCGGAACTCTCCCTTCAGCTAACCCTAAACTCGTGTTTGGGTGAAAATCCCAGAAGCTCTGCCCTTGGGTTTGTTCATGTTTGTAGCTTCAGTGTCCATTTTAATCTGGAAAAATAAATAAATAAATAAATAAATCAAAGAAAATCCAAAGTTATCAAATTTCCTCCAGGAACTCTGAGTTTGTCAGTTCGCCAGATGGAGCAGAAACCTGTGAAACCAGCAGACTCATCTCTACAGCTCAGCTCCTTCTGACTGGAAAAGAACACATCGCAGGCTGGGTGGTTCTGCTCGGAGCTGGTTCTGAGAGTTAACAGAACCCTGCAGAACGGATCACCCCCCCTAAGACCTTTTGATCGAGTTAAACAGGAAAACTGTTACTTTTTAAATTTCAACTTTAGTGAATCTGACCTAAATCATCCTGTTTACTACTTCCTTCTCCAGAGTTTGGACCTGGTACCAGGCGGTTAGTCGGGGGCTGCAGCCAATCAGAGACATGCAAAATCATGTTAACAAGGTGTGATTGGGGAGGGGGGAGGCGTTCAGCTCAGTACCGGCCAATCATGAAGGGTTTGGACAGACCAGCGGCGGGAGGCAGACAATGGAAGCTTCTGATTGGAGGAAGGTGGAGAAGAGGCGTGGCCCACAGCAGAGGAGTGGGCAGGTGATTGGTTGGACAGAGTCAGAAAAAAAAAGGTAGAAAAAAGACAAACAGAAGCCAATCAGGGAGAGTGCATTCAAATTGTCCAATCAGAGTCCAGCTCTGAGCTGGATCAGGCAGGGTCTGTTACCATGGTTACCTCCTTCTGACATGGCTCTGAATGGTCTCCACTACAGGTGGTTCTGTTACAGACAGTTCTGGACTTGCACGCTGATAACGGAATTACCCATAATTCCACAGGATAGCACATCACACAGCTGGACCCGACACCGCCATCCTAACGGGCCTCGGGTCAGGTTCTAGAATGCTTCCACTTCAGGTCTAACCGGGTCCATGTGTCCAGAACTAGCTTATTCTGCTGCATGGGGGGGTGTCAACCTGGACCGTTCACCTGCTCAGGTGAAAGTTAGTCTCAGCTTCATGTGCACACATCTGCTGCTGCTCGCAACACACACGAACACACACACACACCAGTCAGCTCCTGGCTGGGGATTAAGATCAGCTGCTTTTCTGATAAAGCTGATGAGATGAAATGTGGGGATGAAAGTCGGAGCAGGAGTTCATCGGGGAGTTTTGATTCCTTCTGACTGAATCCGGGTGTTTGGGGTCAGTCTACATCCGGGTCGACAACGTAGCTGGTGCAGTTCCTGTGCTTCTCAGAGGAACCATTTCACTCGATGGATTACAGCAGCTTCTGGCAGCAGGTAGGAGACTGACTTCACATCTGGAAGCTCCGCATTCATCCACCGTCATGATGCAGAAACCTTCAGAAGCATCTACATGAACCTCAGCAGCAGCATCACAGCTGTGCCTAAAGAGCTGCAGGAATCAAACCAGCAACCACTTTCCACAGCAAACTAACCCGCAGATGGAGCATGAAATCTCCAGTGGTTCTGTTTCTGGTTTCACGTTTGCAAAAATTCTTCAGAGATGAGTTTTAAAACGACTGTGTGTGTGTGTGTGTGTGTGTGTGTGTGTGTGTGTGTGTGTGTGTCTCACTCGTTCTTTATAGTAGAAGGAGGAGATGGAGACGGTGTCCTTATCGGAGCGGGTCGGGCTGCCGCTGTACAGCCGCAGGGTGCTCGGAGGCTCCGAACGCATCTTCATCGGGGTCAGGACTCCGCTGTGATAGGCTGAGAGGGCAGACAGGGACCTGAACACACACACACATACACACATTTTCAGCTGCTTCTGTGTCTAAAACTGATTTTGACTCCAGATCCAGCTGCTAGATTCTGATTCTGACCCATTATGTGGGTCTGAGATCTGATCCGAGACCAGTTACAGGACCTGGACTGGTCCTCTACCTGTCCAACAGCAGATCAGAACCACAACACCTGTGGGTGTGGTTTACCTGGGAGTGGGTTCAGTGGGCGGGGCACAGCGGTGCATGGTGATTGGTCGGGTGAAGTAAACCAGACAGCCGGTACCACAGAAACGTGCGCCGGACGTTCGAGGAAATGGGATGTTGGCATCCTGAGGGAGGACCAGATGTTTGTGTGTTTGTCTGAAGCAGAAGGACCATCATCTTCATCAGTGCAGACTCTACCTGGTAGGAGCCGTAAGTGTTGGTGACGCGAGGAAACGCCTGTAGGGAGGGAGTGACGGGATTGGATAAGACGAAGGGTCCAGACGCTGGGCTGTCCTCTTGGGTCTGTCAGACAGAAACAACAGATTGATGAGAGCTGCTAGCGCCCCCTGCAGGCTACTGGGCCCATTCGCTGGTTTTTGGTTCTGGTTCTGTCACCATATCAGACTCCAGACAGGACACGAGCTGACGGACACACGGCTCCAAACAGTTCTGGTTCCTCTTCACTTTTTGAAAAGACGTGTCCCTCAAGATCTGAAGACAGAGAAGTAGAGACACAGAGAGACGCCAGAGAACAGCAGCATAAGGGTTCTGGGTTGGATCAGGGGTTCTGAACCAGGCTCTGGACCGGTTCTGTAAGTTGACAGTATGTGAAAACTGTTCTGAAAGGAGTTCCAGAACATTTGAATGGTTTACCTGCTCTCCAAGAATGGGTCAGAAATAAAGAACCAGACCCAGCATGTGTGTCCGGCACCATGCTGCGGTGCGTTCAGGTACCTTCTGGATCTTGGTCTTCATTGCAGAGGGGATGGTTGTCGGTGGGGTGAACTGGAATGTGGGCGCTGCGTTGTTGGGGTACTGGGCCGGGAACTTGACCACCAGGTGGACCTGATGGCTGCCGAAGTGGGCCGACACCACACAGCTTCGGTTCATCGCGTCCATCTGAGTCCAAAACACAAACAGTCATCAGAGCTGGACTGAACGGGTCCAATAGAACCCATCAGCGATGCTGTTTCTTCCACCTGTCAGAGTCTCACCTCAACGTTGACGTTTCTGATCTGCAGGTTGACCAGAGAGAACTCCTGCTGAAGAGTCTGAGCGAGACCAGAACCTGCTGCCAAGTCCTGATGACCGCCGTCTGGATCTGGGAAACAGAGCGTCAAAACCTTAAGGTGTGATGTCACAGCGAGGAACCAAGTTTAAACCACGAGTTCTGCTGGGTTCTACATCGTTCTGATCCATTCCTCAGATGGTCTCAGGACAATGGCTGATCACATGTTCGATCAGCTGTTTCTGCTTCTAGAGGACAAACACGTGGATGACACACACACACACACACACACACACTGCTGGGCCTAGAGCTTGACCTCACCCTGCAGGTTGTCTGTATCGGGGCCCACGGTCTGCTGGCTCTCAGGCTCCTGGGAAGACATGAACTTCTCCGACTCCACGGTGAGAGACATCCCCTCCATCAGGTCCTCAACCATGTCACTGACACACAGCTACACAACAACAGTAAGCCAATCAGAACCTTGTGTGTCTTGGCTCAGAGAATGGTAAAATGATAAATGGCCTGTAGTTGATATAGCATTTTCTAGAGTCCCGGAACCGCCCAAGGTGCTTTACAACACAATCAGTCATTCACGCACACACACACACACACCCTGGTGGTGATTAACTACATTGTGGCCACAGCTGCCCTGGGGCACACTGACAGAGGCGAGTCCCTCCGACCACCACCAGAAGGCAAGGGGGTTTAAGTGTCTTGCCCAAGAACACAACAACAACAGACTGAGCGGTGCTCAAACCTGCAACCTTCCGATTACGGGGCGCGCACTCAACTCCAGTGCCACCATCGCCCCAAGGTGGAACCCAGGACCAACCTTCTGCAGCTGAGGATCAACCCTCCATATCCTCATAGTCTGATCTCTGGACCAGGTGACCAGCTGGAAGTCCTTAGAGCCTGCACAAGACAGTCAGCCATCAGTTTGACACAAGTCAGGTTCAACCTAACCATCAACGGACTCAATGGCTCAGTTTCTGTCAGTCAGCATCTAAAATGTTCAAGAAAAGATTTGTGTTGTTCGAATCTGAACCAGAACCTTCAGGCCCAAGCAGATCATGTTTGGTGATGATGAGACTCAGACCGAGGAAAAAAACAAGGAAATCAGTTAAGAGTTCAGAGATTTACCATGGAGACACAAAGAGGAGGGGTCACAGGATTTGTTACCATGGAGACAGAGGAAGGGGGGGTCACATGATTTGTTACCATGGAGACACAAAGAGGAGGGGTCACATGATTTGTTACCATGGAGACAGAGGAAGGGGGGTCACATGATTTGTTACCATGGAGACAGAGAGGAGGGGGGTCACAGGATTTGTTACCATAGAGACAGAGAGGAAGGGGGGTCACATGATTTGTTACCACAGAGACAGAGAGAGGAGGGGGGTCACAGGATTTGTTACCATGGAGATAGAGAGAGAGAGAGAGAGAGAGAGAGAGAGAGAGAGAGAGGAAGGGGTCACATGATTTGTTACCATGGAGACAGAGAGATGAGGGGTCACAGGATTTGTTACCATGGAGACAGAGAGAGGAGGGGGGGTCACATATTTGTTACCACGGAGACAGAGAGAGGAGGGGGGTCACATGATTTGTTACCACGGAGACAGAGAGAGGAGGGGGGTCACATAATTTGTTACCACGGAGACAGAGAGAGGAGGGGTCACATGATTTGTTACCATGGAGACAGCGAGAGGAGGGGTTACAGGATTTGTTTCCATGGAGGCAGTAAGATGAGGGGTCACAGGATTTGTTACCATGGAGACAGAGAGAGGAGGGGGCGTCACATGATTTGTTACGATGGAGACAGAGAGAGGAGGGGGTAACATGATTTGTTACCATGGAGACAGTAAGAGGAGGGGTCACATGATTTGTTACCATGGAGACAGAGAGGGGAGGGGTCACAGGATTTGTTACCATGGAGACAGAGAGAGGAGGGGTCACAGGACTTGTTACCATGGAGACAGACGGGGAAGGTTACAGCATCGGTAACTATGCATCTCAGCTAAAGTCTGAGTCTGCAGGTCTCACCTTCTTTCTGCGGTCGCCACTGGAACTCCAGAACCACGTCGTCATGTCCAACGAAGGCGTGGACGGGACTGTTAAGGTCGAGGGTGCTCCACAGTAACAAACTGTTTTCTCTCCTCAGCTGAGGAACCATGATGGTGACCAGACCATTGGAGAAAGGCTGAACGAACGTACACACACATCATAATATTTAACCATAAGCCATTCTAGTTGATCCTTCGTGTCTCTGTTGGGCTGAACTGAGCTCAGACCCACCGTGTACCGGGCCTTCCACACTGGAACCTGACAGGACAGGATGTTCAGGTACTTCCTGGGCTGTCGGTAATCCCAGAACTGCACAGACACAGAAAACACAAACACTGGACTAGACCAGGGGTTCTGAGACCTAAGCTAATGGCTCCTCCGCTCTGTAAACACGTTGGGGACAGTTGTGTCCTCACCCTGACTGAGTTGTCCTGGCTGGACGTAGCAAAGATATATTCATTGTCTGAATGCCAGTCGAGGCCGTGGATCTTGGAGAGGTGAGCCGCTACGTACTCCACTGCTGTGCTCGGCTTCTGCTCAGAGGGAATTTTGTCACACGCACGCACATACCATCATCACAACCAGAATCTTAACTTCCTGGACTTTTTTAAAGCATTTTAAACGTTCAAGTTTCTCTAAGAACCTGGAAGCTCCTGGTCCAGGTTTGAGGACAGATAATCTGGGTGCTGGACTCGGACTCGTGTGTGACTCACTCTTTTGTCCCAAACCCGAACGTCTCCATCATGACTGGATGCCAGCAGATGTTGGTTCTTCCTGTTCCATTTCACCTGAGACGCTCCAGCTGGTGGACAAAGGGACAGGTGGACAGATCAGACAGATGTTACTATTATATATATATATATATATATATATATATATATATATATATATATATATATATATATATATATATGTATGTATACATATATATATATATATATGTATGTATACATGTATATATATATATATATATATATATATATAGCTTTAATGAGATCACTCAGTGGTACGTTTATGACACAAAGCCAGCTGCTGATGGTAGAGGTCGACATAATCTTTGTGATATCGGAGGGTCCCTGAATGCACCACCTGAGTGTCTGAACATGCGTTTTTATCCTGAAGACTCACCGACAGCAGACAGCGCCACAGTAGGCTTCCTGGTGTCTCTGTGGAGTCAAACAGACATGATGAGACGCTGAACGGTCGGGGTAAATGTGGGTTTTATGATCAACAGCTGCTTCAGCTCAAACAGATTCAGAACCGACCCAGTTCAGCAGCTGTTGAAGGTGAAACCGGGAGAAGGACCTTTTGGACTGAGCGGGTGTTGATTTAATCAGCTGATCAGAAACTTCAGTGGGTCAGACTCCACCTCAGTGGCACGTTTGCGTTACTGGGTCATACTGGGTCAGAACTCAGTCAGATGGTTCTGATCTAACCTGATACCGAGGTTTCACCTGTTCTCACCTGGTGTCCCAGATGTAGATGTAGGTGTCCACGGAGCTGGTCGCCAGGAGCTCCGAGTCGAAGCAGGACCAGTCCAGATCACTGAGGACACCAACACATCACAGTGAGTTTCAACCGTCCTCACCTGCCGACAGGTGAGACGGACTCCTGACTGCTGTTACCTGATGACCCGAGTGTGTCCCAGCAGGGAGGTGTGGGCCTCGCCACAGCCGTCCCTCCACGAGTACAGGTCCACACGCTGGTTACTCTGGAGAGACACACGTACACGTTTGTTTGGCTTGGTTTGGGTAAGGGTATTTATGTAGGCGGGACTGATGACAGTTCATCCAATCAGATTTATCAGGAGAACAAAAGCAGAAACTCTGTAAAAGCTGAAGAAGGTCACTTTAACTCACCGAGGCAGCAAAGACGTGAGCCTCTGACCTGTGGGGGTTCCACTGGACCGTCCCCACATCCCACTTACTCTGGCGTGCAATCTTACGAGGCGGTTCAGACGGGGCCTCCAGGTTCACCATGTACAGGAAGTGGCGGCTGGATGGCAACAACATCAGCTGATTACCTTGTTTTTCATCCTCAGGTTTTTAAGCATTTAACTGATCTGTATGTTCTGATCAAACACCTGAGATACTGGAATGTCCTGAGTAAACTAACTAGTTCTGATAGAAAACACACACACACACACACACACACAGGTTCTGATCCATAGATGATGTTTAGTATCAATGAATCTGTACTAAAGCCTGTCTGACTGGGTAATTTCCAAAATATTTCAGATCAAACAAAATACCTGGATTTATTCTAGTTCCATATAAATAAAATGTTTATTTTAAGATCAAACGTCTGACTGCTTTGACATCTTAATATCTGTTCCACGGGTTGCTCAAAGACACTTCAGCACAGGAGAAAATCGAGCCGCTGGTGTCAGGAACTCACCCTGACAGCACCGCATGGGTGCCCAGGCAGTCCACGGACATGGCTGTGGCCTGAAACACAACATGAGACCCATTTATCAGCCGTGTCACATGATAAGTCACATGATTTCACAAACAACAGGAAGACTGACAGCAGACCAGGACTATCACTACAAATCCAACAGAAATTGGGTTCCTGGATTACACAAGCTGGAATGCAACACAGCTGCTGTAGGTGGACACCTGAACGCAACGCAGCTGCTGCAGGTGGACACCTGAACGTAACACAGCTGCTGCAGGTGGACACCTGAACGTAACACAGTTGCTGCAGGTGGACACCTGAACGTAACACAGTTGCTGCAGGTGGACACCTGAACGTAACACGGCTGCTGCAGGTGGACACCTGAACGCAACACAGTTGCTGCAGGTGGACACCTGAACGTAACACAGTTGCTGCAGGTGGACACCTGAACGTAACACAACTGCTGTTTCCAGAGTTTTATAATTTTATTAGTTTCACGCTCTACCGACCTGCGTGTGCGGGTCTGAAACCACGTGATCAATAAAGTTATCGATTTTAAAACTAGTTGATCACATTGTAACAACTAACAGGGGCCGTTTAGATTCGGTTCTACAGGCAAGCTCCTCTCTTCAGCTTCAGTCTCGCCTGAGGCTCCGCCCAGAAATACTAACAAATAAACAAGTAAACAAAGCAACACCTGGGAATCCCGAAACTCAACCACCACATTCTCACTGCTCCAACGGGCAGCCATCTTCCTTCTTATTCCAAACAAATCACCACGTGACTATTATGTAATCGTGCTGCGTTCAGTGGCGGTGGGAACAAACGCCAACAGATCGAGAGACAGATGACAGATTATGTAAGTTTTAGAAAACACCGTTCGAGGATTCGCATTATAGACATATATTGATTATTACTCTCAGACGTTTTAACTTTTCTTTAATCAGTTTGATTCGTCTCGCCAAATGATATTATAGCTAGAAGTATTTTCACCCCTAATTAGAATAGTAGTCTTGGTTTCCATGACAACTAACATGATTAATATCTACAAAAACTGGGGTCCACCCCCAAGGCAACATAAATGTAGTCAAATCACATTTAAATCCACATAGAATAATTAAAAAATTTCCGACACATTTGGGGTAGTTTGAATGCCTCTACACGTAATGGGATTGTTTCCTCTCATCTGATTGGTCGTTCCAGCTGCTTGTCATCACATCAAGATGGCGCAGACCCTGATAGAGCATGTTGTCGCGGACGCTGGAGCCTTTTTAAAGAAGGCACCTTTGCAGGTATCAGTAGACAAACCGATCAGCTGATCGGGTTATTTAGATTTTACAGAAACGTGAGTTTAAAGTGACTTGAAGGTCCAGATCAGCTGGTCTGTTTTTCAGGACATCGGCAGGAACATCTACACGCTGAGAGATGTGGTGGATGAAATCAGAGACAAACCCACCAGGAGGAGCCTGGCCTGCCTGCCGTACCAGCTTCATTTCAAGGATCCACATCCAGAACACATCAGATATGGTAACCAAACCCTCAGGTCTAACCTAAACCCAGTCTTGAACTCCCAGGTCCAGTGGTGTGTCCAGATCTTTAAAATGGGGTGGCCCAGGTGAGGCACCACTTTGTGCATGGGTGGCACCAATGGTTATGCTTTTTTTTTTTAACCCCAAGCCTTTTGTGGACAGTGAAAAGCCTATTTAAAGGGAATTCAGTGCAGTGGCACATGGGGTGGCCAATCAGATTCCAAGGGTGGCATTTGCTACCCCAGGCCACTCCCTGGACACGCCCCTGCCAGGTCTAACCTAAACCTTACCAGCTCAGAGGCTTAGTGGTTGGGTCATACCAAAGACTGACAAAATGGGACCCAATGCCTCCCTGCTTGACACTCAGCATTAAGATGATGGGGGTGGGGGGGTGGGGGGGGGGGGGGGGTGTTAACCAAGTTAAACCACCAACTGTGTCTGTAGCTCATCGCTCCCCCAGGGGATGGGTCAAATGTAGAGAACAAAATTAGCACACACATCAGCTAATGGGACTGATCTTCCAGGTCTAACCCAACTCTCTCCAGAACCCCCAGATCTGACCTAAACCAGGTCCTGCGTTTGGGGTTTGACACCAGACCCCTCTGTTTGTCTCTTTGTGGTTTCAGTCTCTGAGTTTTCCAAGAAGACCGGAGACTATCCAAGTCTGTCGTCCACCGACATCAAAGTTCTGGCTCTGACCTACCAGCTACACCTGGAGCACGTGGGCTCACAGCACCTGAAGAAGGAGCCGGAGAGAAAAGTAACACACACACACACACACACACACACACACCTGAACTTTACTGACATAGATTGTTTTGTGTTCCAGGTGAACATCCAGAGTACACAACGCCACCCAGAGGCACCGGTTAACATCGCAGGGTTCCACTTTCCCTCTATGGTACCAGAACCAAAGTAGATTTACTTGTTGGTGGAACTGCAGGAGTTCTGAGCGTCTGGGCTTTCGTCCCTCCAGAGACCTGCAGACAGCAGACAGAAAACAGCAGAGAGACAGACGTCCAACCAGTCCAGCACCGAACAGTTCAACAGTTTCCAGTTCTGGAGGGATCCGCTTCTGACCATCAGTGATGACCTGCTGGGCCTCCTGGTGCGTCCCAACCAATCAGCTGCTTGCTTGGTGTCTCAGGATGTTTACACACTGTCTGGTGTTGCTTCTGTTGAGTCAGGGTCCAGTGGAGGCTTCAGGTCCAAACCAAGAGCAGGGGGAACCGCAGATGTCCTCCGAGACCACCGACACAGAACACTTCAACAGCTTCCAGTTCTGGAGAGAGCCCGTACCGAGCATCGACGAGGACCTGCTGGCTCTACTGGTGAGTTCAGATCCCAGATCAGAACCAGTTCCTCTGTGACTTAGAGATCTAGAACTGACTGAGAGAACTGGGTCCTCAAAACCCAGTTCTTCAGTAAACTCTGGGCCCTACCTGATGGATGTGGGCTGTCTGAAGAGAACTCGGAGCTGAACGCATGTTTGTTTTCAGGATGAGGGCGGAGCCTCACCACAGACAGAGACAACAGTTTCAGGTGACGAGGACAAAGAGAACGAGCCCGAAGAGGAAGATGATGAAGATGATGGAGGAGGTTGGATCACACCCAGTAACATCAAACAGGTGAAGATGGACTCTGCTGATTGGACGGTTCCAGCTGATGTCATAGTTGGATGTTTGACCACCGACTTTGCCATGCAGGTAACGGATGGTTCCACCAGAACCACAGTGTTGATCGTGTGTGTGTGTGTGTGTGTTAGCACAGGATCATGTGACCTTTGTTCTCCTCAGCCGAGTCCTAAGTGGTTTGGAACCCAGCTAAGGAGAACGTTAATAATTCAGGTTCTGACGCAGGATCCTCCTCCTCACTAACCCGGAGCTTCTGTTGCATGTGCAGAATGTTCTGATCCAGATGGGCCTCCATGTCCTGTCTGTGAATGGGATGGTGATCAAACAGACGAGGAACTACATCCTGAGATGTCACGCCTGTTTTAAGTGAGTTTTGAGTTTCAGCTCCTCCTGGTGTTCCTTCGCTCTGACCGCAGAACTTAACAGAACTTCCTTAATTCCAGGACAACGAGCAACATGAACAAAGTCTTCTGTCCTCACTGTGGAAACCAGACCCTGAAGAAGGTGGCAGTGAGTGTCAGCAACGATGGAAACATCCAGATGCATTTCTCCAGAAACCCCAAAGTCCTGAACCCCCGAGGGCTCCGGGTGAGAAGCTCAGAATCAGGCTTTTATTTTGAAAGGTCACCAGCAGTTCTCTCAGGATGTGGTCTAGATGAGATATGTAGACAGAACCTGATTCTGTTGGGTCATGTGATGAGGCTCTGGCCCATTCTGTCTGCTGCAGCACTCTCTGCCGCTCCCGCATGGCGGCAAACATGCCAACAACCCCCACCTGGTGGAGGACCAGCGCTTCCCCCAGCAGCGGCTCTCCAGAAAGGCCCGCCAGAAGACGGACGTCTTGGACCCGGACTACGTGGCCGGGTCCTCACCCTTCTGCCAGAACGACGTCTACAGCCGAGCCGCCAACCTGCACATCCGAGACGAGCAGTGTGGGGGGGGCAGGAGGCGGACCAACCCTAACGCCACCCGCAGGAAGTTCAAGAAGTGATGACGTCATTAACTAGAGGCGGAGTCTGATGGAAACGAGGAACAACCTGTATAGTTGTTGTTCTGGGTTTGTGTTCTGCTTGGTTTTGTCCCAGGATGAACAGAACCACAGATGTGTGATGACTCATGCTTATTAAACCCGTTTTGTCTCAGAAACACAGATCCGTTCATCAGTTCTGGTTCTGAACACTCACTAAAATGCCAAATAATGTTATCTTTAACCTCTCGCACCGGCAGGTGTCCTCCACACCTCTAGTCCGCTCCATTCAAGCTCCTGGTTTTGGGTCCACATGGGACCGTTTCAACTTCCTGTTCTAAAAACCTTTAATGATTGCTTTCTAGATTTCCGCACTCCACGCAGCCGTTAGTAAACAGGATGTGGAGAAGGTTTGAATGAACCGGGTCAAGTTATTTGTGACATCACAATATGGGGCATTTTGAAACGGCTCATAGAAGCGTTCCAGTCATGAAACCAAACGGTGTAAAGGCAGCAGAGACGCAGAAGGAAGCACAAACAGGAAGTATATTTATATTATGTCCCCTTTAATGACACCGAAAATAGTCAGTGGCTCCATTTGTCAGAGCAGCTGGCTTTTGATTAACGATGCAACCAAGAACCCAGTAGAACAGCTGTCGGGCCCCTGATCCGGATCGGATCTCCTGACCAGCAGCCAGGTCCTTCCAAATGGTTCTGGATCGGTTCTTCAGAGCCCCTGAAGGGCTTTGGCAGACTTCTCTATCAGTTGCACAAAACGGCTCCTAACTCAAAGGTTCAGGTCAGAACAGAACCAGTTCAAACTGGACCTGTAGGCTCTGTGGCACCGGCAGCTGGTCCCGGTTCTCTAGCTGAATCCCAGAACAAAACCTGCCAAGTCGGAACTGTGAAAAAAGAAAACTAATGAAAATATCTGCCGTCTGAATCAGAGCTGGGCAGAGTCCAGAACCCCAAAGACCCGCTCAGTCAGAACCCTCTTCCTCCTGTCCCTTCTCTTCATCAGGCTCAGGTGTACTGGGCTGACTGGGTGCTGGTTCTGGGAGCTGCAGGTCAAAGGTGAGGCTGCCCAGCTCAGCTGTTACATCCACCTCCGGCGCCGGTTCCTTTTGAGGTAACAGGAAGTCCAGTGGCTGCAGAACCAAACCCACGTTGATGCAGCCGAGCCCACCGTACCTGTGCAGCTGGGAGACGGGAACACCTGCAGAGACAACACCTCATGGTCACATGATCCCCACAGAAGCCAATCCGGAGAGGAGAGGAAGCTCTACTCATCAGAAGATCCAGCAAACCAGGTCCAGTTCAGATGGTTCTGGCCCTGACTGGTACCGGTTCAGCTGCTTCCACATCAGCTGTCCAGAACTATCTGATCTGGACCCGAGACCTGGTTCCTGTCACTTTAACTTACAGCACCCTCTACAGGCTGCAGTAGAAAAGACCCGACCCAAAACAAACCAGAACCCAGCGGCTCCACAGCAAGTACTCACCCAGAACCAGCGCCAGCTGAGCTGGAGGGAACAGAACCTGCAGGCAGCGGTTCAGGAAGGGAAGCAGGTCTTCAGCGTAGGACGAGCAGAACTGAACAAACAGCTCCTTCTCCCTGGTGCTGAAGACCGACTCCTCAGCTCGATGGAACACCAGAATCTGACGGGTCACCTGAAAAACGGAACCACACACCGAGTCCAGTTGCACGTGTCCATCAGGTAGAGAGACAGAAAGGAGGTGGGACTGGACTGACCATCTTCAGGGCGTCCTCCAGACAGCTGCTGACGTCCTGCGCCAGCCCGATGGGGCAGCACAGCCGCAGGTCATTGAAGGCGCTCAGGATGTTGTTGAGGAAGCACGCCAGAGGCTGGAAGTCCAGCAGGGACATGGGGGGCTGAAGAGTCCCAGGCTGGACGCTGGGGACAACTGGGGGGATGGTACCACCCAACACTGAGGGCAGGGCCATCAAAGTATAAAGGTTCATGTCCTCCTGGAACTTGTCCAAAGCCTCCTTCACCGCCCTGCGGAACGTTTCAGCCGCCACCCGCTGGAACATCGGGGCCAGCTGTCCACGGAAGTCCGCCCCCACCCTGCTGAAGGACAGGCCAAAGTACATACACTGTCCCAACAGGGAGTCCAGACGGCCGCCCACGCCCCGCTGGAGGTCCCGCTCCAACGTCTCCAGGAACTCTGCCACCTTCTGCACCACCCAACCATGGAAGATGGAGCTCTCGTTCACAGGAGCCTGGCCGGGCGACAGCAGCGGGTCATCGTCGGAGAAGATGGCGCGATACTGAGTGATGATGTCAAACAGGTGGACTCTGCAAGCCTCAATGGTTTTGGTGATGTGGAAGTAAGGGTCATCCACAGGAATGGCAGCGAGGATGGAGGTCAGCCAGGTGCTCCGAGCCTGCAGGAACTTGACTCGAAGCTCCGCCTCCGTGAACACATCCATCCGCCGCAAGTAGCCAATGACACGCAGACACACGGGCAGCTGGGTGTTGGTCCGCAGCTGCTGTAACAGCTGGCTGAGCATCAGCTGAGCAGACTGACGCACTTCACGCACGATGCCCTGCAGAGACAAAAGGTCAGAGGTCAAAACCGGAAAACTGTCCGGACCTTCAGAGAGACAGTTCTGTTAGCTTAGAGCTGCATCCCGCCAGTTTCTGTCACCTGAACTCACCTGGATGACCGGCAGCGAGGCGTGCTTCTTCTCCAGCCGTTTGACGTACGCCGCCAGCTCCAACGCCTCCTCGTAGTAGCCGTTTCTGACGCAAGTGTCCATGAGCTGAGGGATCTCCAGGATCTCCAGAATCTCGGTGTGGCGGTTGAGAGTCAGGCTGTTCATCCTGCGGCTGGCACCGATCTCCTCCGCCTCCTTCATGAAGGTCCTGGACAACAAGGGGACACCTCAGACTCAGGTGAGGAGCAGAACTCCTTCTGTACCAGGTTTGAAGCTAAACCCCATCCGTGTCCACACGAAGTGACAAAGAACTTCTGATTTAGAAACAGATCAGCTTCAACATCTGGTTTTTATACATCTGTAGATCAGTTTTATTCCCAAATGAATCAGAAGTTTCCAACTAACCAACTGAAGAATATCTACGTAGTAACTAGTTAACTTAGTTAGTGGGTGAGGCGGGGCTAAATGGAGACAGGTGATTGGCTGAAGGACAAAGCCCCAAGAGAATAATTAATATTTTTCATTTTAATTATCGATGTTTTGTGATAAATCGGTAAGGTCCTGGATCAGAACTAAACTGTTTTTATCTCCTCATTCTTCTCCAGGAACCCAAACCCGCTCATTGGTTCCGGACTCGCAGCTTTGGTCTCACCGACCTGCACTTCTCTCCGAAGCGGGGCAGCTTGTCCAGCAGCCGGGACACGCTGCTCTCCACCCGCCCGAAGTCCCGGTAGATGTGCTCGGTGCAGTCCGCGGTTCGGATGAAGGTCTGGTAGTTGGAGAAGGCTAGCTCCCGGGTCTGCTGCAGGATGTGGGCCCGCTCCTCCGCCAGCCGCTCCGGTTCCCGGCTCAGCTTGTCCACCCCGAAGGAGCTGAGCTCGGACAGGTAGCCGGGCAGGTCCGGCTGCTCCCTCCAGTTGTCCGGGAAACTGGCCCTAAACACGGACACCAGGATGCTCTCGTCCTCCACGTCCACCGCCGCCATGTTGGTGCTGCTTCTGGCCCGGTTTGAACCGAACCGACCGAACCACTTGTTTACTTTGGTGACAGAATAAGAAGTGACGTTTCCTTCCTTGTGGTTTAAAGGATGTGATTTCTGAACTACCGCCGCCTAGTGGACAGGGGCGGAGCAGCATGATTATCACACCTGTGCAGGTAAATGTTTAACAGGTCAGTTACCACCTGGGTTTAGTCTGGTTTAATGGATGGAACTCATTCATAAGACTTTGGACTCAGTCATGTTGATTGATGAAACCCAATTATTTACTCTTAATGTGACTCTGGCCCAGTTTGACCTGACCACTGGTTTGATATTTAGGATCCAAACCCAGATGTCCTGGAACTGCAGGGATGAAGATGTGATAAAAACTGCAAGAGGCCAAACAAACACGGAACCGTTTTAATCGTAGAACTTTATATTTGTAGTTCTGAGAACATGAAGACAACAGAACAGGAAGTAGAAACAATAAATAAAAGGACACTTTAGCCATGGTGACAAAGTGCTGCAGAACAGTGAGAACATTAAAGAGCTGCTTCTTTCTTGTGCGTTTCAAAGTGAATGTTAAAACAGGAAGCTGATGCAGAAGCTCCGCCCCCACGGTCTTCTGGAGCTGATTTTTTTTTGGGGGGGAAGCAAGGGGGGGACCGCCCGCCCGCCCTCGCCCCATTGTTGCTGCAGTTTCAGGCCAGATCCTGAACTCGGTGACAGATTTCAGATGTGAACTCAGAACACTTAGAGTTTCCTCCCAGATCTTTTGTCAGAACCTGAAACATCAACAAAACCCATCAGAACCCAGTAATAAACCCTCATAATGATGATTTCAACTCAGCAGTTCCATAAAAGGGCCAAGTCGTCTCACCTTCTTGTCTCTGATGGTGTCAAAACAAGCGGTCTGGATCCGACTGGCGTACTCGTGGAGACCCATGTGTCGCAGCATCATGACGGCGCTGAGCAGCAGGGCGGTGGGGTTTGCCAGGTCCAAACCTGCGATGTCAGGGGCGGTGCCATGCACCTGCAGCACAAGCACGTTTCTGGGTTACATGAAGAACCTCTGAGGTCTGATCAACAGAACCTGAGGAAAACGGCTGACCCAGTTGGGATGGAAACAGATGTTCTGTTCTGGGTTTGAGTTAAGTTCTGGTTAAACATTCCTGGACCCAAACGGATCTTCATACAGTCATTCAGGTTCTTTGTTAAAAAGAAACCTTAATAGATGAACTAAAGTCTGACTTTGATCTAAAACTTAAACACCAGTTTTGAAGTCAAATCTAAAAGTTTGTGTTGAAGTTTGACTTCAATAAATTATTTCCTCAAAATGTATCAGATTTGTGTTAGGGATGCACCGATCAGGTTTTTTGCTGCCGATCACCGATACCGATATCAAAGAATGCTGATCACCGATACCGATCACGTGGACTGGCCAGAAATTTTCTACATTATAATGAGTGCTACAAACTACATAATCTGGGAATAAAGGAAATGTAACCTAATCTAAGATGGTCTGTATTAGGGTTGTCACGGTGTGAAAATTTATCCTCACGGTTATTGTGACCAAAATTACCACGGTTTTCGCTATTATCGCGGTATTTTTTTTAAACGTGCTACATTTTCACACAATTAAATAAACCCTGTATGTCAGGAAATATTGTCCTCAGTTTGTGTCTAAATTTTGCCTAAAATGCGTTATTTTGTAATTATGTTGTTTATTTGTTTACATTTTTCCCTTTAGTCTTTAAAATACCAATATTTGCCCATAACTTCTTATTTTATGTCTGTTTGATGTCATCATTTTAAAAATATTAGATCAGATGATACTCAGTACTCAAATAGCCTTCTAGTAATCAGATACTTTTACCCTTACTTGAGTAATAAACCCTATATCAGGAAAATATTGTCCTCAGTTTGTGTCTAAATTTTGCCTAAAATGCGTTATTTTGTAATTATGTTGTTTATTTGTTTACATTTTTCCCTTTAGTCTTTAAAATACCAATATTTGCCCATAACTTCTTATTTTATGTCTGTTTGATGTCATCATTTTAAAAATATTAGATCAGATGATACTCAGTACTCAAATAGCCTTCTAGTAATCAGATACTTTTACCTTTACTTAAGTAATAAACCCTATATCAGGAAAATATTGTCCTTGGTTTGTGTTCCAGTGAGCTTTGCAGATGTGGGAAAATGTCATCAGGCAGTAATCGTTGTTAAATTCATAATTATTCTCGGAGAGAGACCAACTCTTATCTGCCCCTGGGAGCCCCGTAATGCACAGCGTCATTTCAACATGGCGGTGTCCGCGACACGGTTTATATGCAGGTAGCGGCGCTGCGGCTGCTTTATATAGCCACTCGTTGCATTCTCCCTCAACCCAAATCCTCGGATCACGCATTTCAGCTAAACGCTAACGTTAGCTTGCCTTGCGTTGACTGTAGAGTTGTGGGTGATGGTCACGCAGATGTGTCATGAGATTTGAAGCGTTGCTGCCTTTCACAGACACTTTTTCTGCACGTGCTGCAAACAGGATAGCCGTCTTCTATAAACTCCCTCAGCATTCTTCAAATATTCAAAAGATGCCCGTACTTCCGACTTTGTCTTCTTTGAGGGATAAAAAATGCCCTCCTGAGCACTGCCGTCTCCTCCTTTGGCCATTATTTCAGCTTTAGCTTCAAGAAAGTTTTGGTTGTAAACAACAAAGTGCGCATGTGCCGCCGGCAACTTCAGCAGATGATACGGTGGCTGGTAAGGGTCACCGCGCCTACACCGCAGCCACGGTAATCCACCGAGATAATATATGTTTCTTTCAAAACAAGACGGTTATTATTATTGTGAACTTTTTTTACCGGGGTTTACCGCTACACCGGTTACCGTGACAACCCTACCTGATCGGTCTGCTTTGGTCTATTTTGAAAACTCCGATCAAAACTGATAGGGGCGCTATCGGCCGATTACGATCAAATGCCGATCCATCGGTGCATCCCTAATTTGTGTCCAAAGAATAACGAGGAGAGGTCGTTTTAACGGGAGGCTTATCTCCACATCGCTGATCCAGGAGGCAGAAAAAAGCATCTGGGAGTTTTCTGGTTTCATCTCTTTCTAATTGTTCCTGCAGATCTCAGATCTCAGATCAGTTAAGTCTCCTTCAAAAGGAACGCACCGACTCAAAGATGGCGACTCCGTTGGCTCCAATGTTCCCGCTGGGAGTGACTCCTAATCCTCCGATCAGACCGGCACACAGGTCACTGAAACACAGTCACGTGACATCAACATTGCATCCAACGCTTCTGATTGGCTGATTCTCTCAGAGCACACACTGACCTGAGGATGTCTCCATACAGGTTGGGCATAACCAAGACGTCAAACTGGGTTGGGTCCTGAACCATCTAGAGACCAAAAACACAAATCAGAATCGGCCTGATGGAGGAACAACGGGTCAGTAAGCGTTCCGTCCCTCAGGAGTGAGAACAAACGTTAGAGAAGATCGGGGGTGTTTCTCAATGCCGAGGAGCCCGCCCTGGTTGCCTAGGAGATACGTCATCGGGAGCCGCCAAGACATGCTCCAATGTTCATGTTCTACCGAGGCGTGTGTTCTCCGTTTGTTAGCCGTTTAGCTAGCTGAGCGAGGACACATGGGAGGTGTCTTGTAGCCTAGCCTTGGTCAAAAATTACCCACAATACACCGCGGTATTTTCAAAAGGATGGCGGATCAGAAGCCGGCAGCTACTTCAGGGATAATTTTCAAGTTTAAAGGTAAGTCAGCTAATTTAAAATGTTTTTTTTTTTTAGATCCAAAGAAGTTATCTCTGGTTGGTTAGTTGCTCAGTAGTTGCAGCTTCGGTGGCTAGCGGGTAGTAACTCACTTATATTTTTAATTTAATAAACATATACACAATTTAAAAAGTAAAACGTTCGTTATATATTTATACTGAAACTAATACATATAAAATATAACATTATCTCCCGTGTCACGCGACGTTAGGTGACCGCCGTGGAAGCCGTGGTCACGTGATGCAGGTCTGTTGTTCTATTTAACCGTTGTTAGACCAAGGAAGGACAATGTCCTCGTAAGGCAAGGCACCTTGACATTGAGAAACACCCCTTATCTTCAGTTCCTATCCTAACGTCCTCCAGCAGACCTCCACCAGGGGCACGGGGGTGGGGGGGTGGGGGCTTGGCGGACTTACATTGAGGCACACTGTGTCAAGGTACATCTCCGTGAATTTGATATCTTTGTAGTTCTCAGCCACCTCCCGACATTTTCGGAGGAACAGACCATCTGACATCCTCCTGCAGACACAAGAACTCACGCTCAGAGGGTCGTAGACACAGAACATAGTAAAAACGGAGAGCTGAAACACCAAACAGAAACTTTTATTTAGGAAAAAGTCAAACAGATTCCCTTTAGTTTTAAAATGCATTTAATGAGAAATAAATATGGCGTGACCAATGTTGGATTTAGTTACCGAGTTATTCAAAAGCAGAAGTTTTATTTTATTCTGTTAGTGACGTATTATTGATTATGGAGCTGCCTAACTGGATTGTTTTTATAAACCAGCCTGATGCGTTCCTGCTGAACCTTCAGGCTAACAGCACTCACATGATGTTAGCTTTGTGGACAGCTGTAACGCTGCTCCTCTGGTTGTTTCTGGCGTACTCGAAGGCGTATTCTGCGATGCGTCTGCTGGCGTTCTCCGTGATCAGCTTGATGCTCTGTACGACGCCGTCTACAATCTGCAGAAACAAGAAGTGAAGTTGAGCCGTGAAACGTTTATTATTGAGATAATAACAGAGCCTTGAGGACAGACGATCCATCAGGCGGAGTTTGATTAGTAGCCCTGATCTGCATGCATGAGACAGGAACCTGATGTGACGGGTTGGAAATCCACTCACCACATGCTCGATACCGCTGTACTCGCCCTCCGTGTTCTCCCGGATCGTCACCAGGTCCACGTCTGTGTATGGCGTCTTGTAGCCTTCGATGGAGACGCAGGGCCGCACGTTGGCGTAAAGGTCAAAGGTTTTTCTCAGCAGCAGGTTCATGGAGGGATGTCCAGCAGCAATGGGTGTCTTGAGGGGTCCTGCAGAAGGAAACCGTGAGCTGAGAGCTTTCAGACAAAAACAGCAGCCTGACATATACCCAACAGACCTTTAAGGCCGATCTTGCTCCGGTCCATGGACTCTTTGGCATCAGGAGGGATCATCCACTTGCCCCCAGGTCCTTTAATCGCTGTGACGTTCCTCTCCTCCCATCTGATTGGAGCCTGCAAGCAAACGCTGATGAGTTTGCTGCTTCCAGGTGTGAAGAGTCTATTTCTGCTCTCAGGTGGAATCAAACTCACTTTTGCTGATTCAAATATCTTCACAACAGCGGCGGAGATCTCCGGACCGATCCCATCACCAGGAATCAGAGTAACCGTTTGCATCTGCTCAAAGAAACAAGCTTCTGCATCAGGAATAATAAAATAATGAGATAAATGCAAGCAAACTGTTTTGATTGTTTTTGTTCTTTTTCTGTTTCTCCATCTGACAGCAAATTAACTCATGCCGGCTTGGGCCAGCACAGCAGGAGGTTCTAGTTGGTGTCGAGTTCTCAGACCCCGACCCACTTACCCCTCTGGAGAAGGAAGCAGGAGAAGGAGCCAGTCTCCTTGTTGCTCTGCCCATCATCTGGCTCACCTGCAGAGGACAACAACATGAGGGTCACACTGGATCTAAAACCAGAGATCCACCCAGAAATCAGCCAGCATTCAGTGACTGACCATTAGAAACTTAGAAATCCGACATCTTTACCTGTCTGTGAACTCACCAGAGGCGTGGAAGTCTTTTTATTCAGAAACATTTATTATAAAAGGAATTCTGTTGTTTATTTTTACATAAACAGTTCAGGTCAACAGGTCGGTGCTGCACGGGGATCAGAAATCGGTTTCGACCCCAAACCTGATGCGTTCAGTACAGAATGCTGGGATAAATGGAACTTTAATTAAATATGTTTGGTGTAATTAAAACTTTTTTTGTCTTCTGTTGATCAGAAAAGTGTTTTTTAGCTCCTAAACTGGTGGAGTTGGACTGCGCTTATGAGTTTAAGAGCTGCTATCTGCTTTAAATCCAGAGCTGAGAAGGTGTTAAACAGCTAAAGCTAAAGCTAGAGGTTTCTGCAGCCGCCGCTGGTGGTTTTGGATGAACTGGGTTCGGGTTTTAGTCCGTTCATTATCGAGTCTGCTGTCGATCGGGCTGCTGTCGAACGGAGGAGAGCGATAACGTGAAAAGTTCCGGTGGCGGTCCGGTGATGCAGCGGGTCTGGTGAAGGGCACAGACTTCCGGCTAATAGCTAACAGGCTAACGGTGAGAGATAAACCAAACAGAAACAGTGGAGCCATGAAGTTCGGCTCATACAGAACCACCCGGACGGGTGCGCGGTGACGCGACAGTCCAGCTGTTAACGGGTTTTGCCGGCTGGTTACCGGCTGGTTAACGGGTTTGGCGCTTACCAGTGACCTCCACATGCTGCCTGCTGCCATCCTGCCGATGAACGGAGATCCTCTGACAGCGAGATGACTCACTACGACCTGCTTCTGTTCTGGGTTCAGACAAAGATCCACCCATGAGAAGATGCCTTCTTCTTTTTCTTTTCCTCTTCTTCTTCTTCCTCCTCCTCCTTCACCTTCTCCTCATCCCCCTCCTCATTTGCGGTGTACTATTATTTAACAAAACAGTCCCTGAAAGTTCTTGATCTTCACCATTCGGAAAAGCAGTGATAAAACCACGAGGTTTTATCAGTCAGCGCTGCTTTGCTGACAGAGATATTGCAAAGACCAATGGTGTTCTGCTCACCATTTCACCCCACATATCCCACTGCACACAGTCTGTGGACAAGAGTGTTTATGATCCATTACAGTCCAGCAGACCAAACCCTGAAAAACAGTCTCCCACCGTAGTAGATCATCCTCCGCTGATGAGCCAACCACTGCAGATAATCCATCCACTGTTTTTATGCTGTCTTCATCATCCTCCCCGCAAGGATTGTGCATTATCGGGTGACACAGAAGCGTGTCAGCCACACTGCATGTGTGTCTGCAGCTGAAAATCAGCCCCTACCCAAAGTTCCACATCCCAGAAGAAAAACAAAGCAAAAGCATGTAAAGACAAGGATCCTCACCGATACACATGAAAAGGGTTCATTCAAAAGGGCTCTGAAGGAGAGAGAAAATAAACTGAAGGGGGGAAAAGCAAAGTAGCATTAATGAAAAAAGGGACACCGAAGAAGGAACAAAGTCACAGTAAGCAGTAGCTCCAAGAGTGATGCTCCCATTCCTCTTGACGAAACACCTGAGGACGACGCATCGGAGGGTGAATCAGAAAGCACAGACCTGTTAGTTGGTGACTTTACTAAATCTGCAGCCAAACACAGGAGCTACCGTTACATTGGCTTGGTTGAGCAACTGGAGGGTGAAGATGCAAGGGGTCCGAGGGAGCACAGCTAAAGGGAAACCAACATTTGTTTTCAAGGAGGATAACTTGGCACTTTTCCCACAAAGTGAAGTGGTTAAGAAGCTGCCTCGACCTCAAAAGGCAGGAAGAACTGCCCGGAAAGAGCGGCGATAATTTAGGAATACCACAAGATTCTTTATGAGTTTGTTACAGTTGTTATAATCTGTTGATGGTGTTCTATCCTCATCACTGTTTTTATTCAAATGTTTTTCAACATGACTCATTTATAGGTAAAAATTTCCTTTGGGGTAATTCAAAATGACAATCAGGTTTAAACTGGAAAAAATATTTTAGTCAATTTACCCCGAAACTGGGCCACTCCAACCCCCCCCCACCCCCCCACCCCCACCCACCCATCCTGTCTGATACCCCCTTCACAATGGTGGACTCGTGTCGCTTCCTGGGCACCACCATCGCCCAGGACCTCAAGTGGGAGCTCACCATAGCCTCCGTCATGAAAAAGACCAGCAGAGGATGTACTTCCTGAGGAAACTGAAGAAATTCAACCTGCAAGGACATTCGATCAGGCAGTTCTACACCCTCCTCACCTCTTCAATCACCGTGTGGAAATGATGGAGCTACCATCAGACACAAGAAGAAGCTGCAGCGTGTTGTGCGCTCTGCTAAGAAAGTCATTGGCTGCAAACTCCCCTCCGTACAGGACCTGTACACCTCCAGGACATTGAGGGTGCAGGTCGGATAACAGCTGACCCGTGACACCCTGGACACAGTCATTTTGACTCGCTCACATCTGGCAGGAGGCTCCGATCCATTCGGACCAGAACCTCTCACCACAAGAACAGTTTCTTCCCCTCTGCTGTAGGACTCAATCCTATGGCTGCCCACTCCAGTCGCTTGGTTCCAGTCACATGACCCGGTGTTGTGTTTGTACCTGAACTGATCCACTCTGATCAGTATCTACACAGTCTTGTATATAGCAGCTGTTTCTCTAATTATTGCCACTTTATATTATTATTTTATCGTGATCACATTCTTACTTCCTATATTTCCTCATCTCTTGTTTTTATCTTCCTTTTTGCATAAAGTACCGCAGCAATGTCCTAATGTTGTGATTCTCACACATGTGGCAATAAAACCTTCTGGTTCTGAAATTGAGCCACAAGACAACTTTTTAAAAGAGGTCACATTGTTTTTGTTCCATCGTTTATGCATTTCCACTGAAGGGAACATCCTGAAAACTACTCTGGTTTTACTTTTGTGTCCCTTTCTCTTGCCTGGAGGACAGAATAAGTAAAAAATGGCTCAACTTACTTCACTCTTCCTTCATTAGATTTAAATATTCCCATTGAGTTTTAGCAAACTCCACCTCCTACTCCTACTAGGATCAGCACCTCCAAATCTGAGACCATGGTTCTCGACCGGAAAAGGGTGGCTTGCCAACTCCGGGTCGGGAGAGAGGTCCTACCTCAAGTGGAGGAGTTTAAGTATCTCGGGGTCTTGTTCACGAGTGAGGGTAGGAGGGATCGGGAGATCGACAGGCGGATTGGTTCGGCGTCTGCAGTGATGCGGACGCTGAGCCGATCTGTCATGGGGAAGAGGGAGCTGAGCCAGAAAGCCAGGCTCTCGATTTACCGGTCGATCTACGTCCCGATCCTCACCTATGGTCATGAGCTTTGGGTAATGACCGAAAGAACGAGATCGCGGATACAAGCGGCTGAAATGAGTTTCCTCCGTAGGGTGGCCGGGCTCAGCCTTAGAGATAGGGTGAGGAGCTCGGACATTCGGGAGGGGCTCGGAGTAGAACCGCTGCTCCTCCGGATCGAAAGGAGCCAGTTGAGGTGGTTTGGGCATCTGGTCAGGATGCCTCCTGGACGCCTCCCTGGGGAGGTGTTTCGGGCATGTCCTGCCGGCAGGAGGCCCCCGGGTCGACCCAGGACACGTTGGAGAGGTTACATCTCCAATCTGGTCCGAGAACACCTTGGGGTCCTGCCGGAGGAGCTGGTGGAGGTGGCCGGGGAGAGGACGGTTTGGAGCTCCCTAGTTGGGATGCTGCCCCCGCGACCCGGACCCGGATCACCGGAGGAAGACGACGATGACGACCACCTCTTACTTCTATTTTATTTCCCTTGAGACCACTGTAGGGCTCAGACCCTCTTCTCTCCTGAACTTAAACTCTTCTAACTACTCTGTTCCTTCATCTGAACTTCGCTCTTCTGAGCTTCTCTTGTTGCACCGACTGCTACGCTCTCTGTGGAGGTCACCGATGGGGTCTGCGACTTTTCCTTGTTGTTATTGTGTGTTTATCTTTTTTGTACTTGTTAGTATGATTGCGTTTTATTGTTGTGTTCAGCACCTTGGGCTTCTGCTAACCATAGTGGAGGCTGTATCTGACCTCTGCATCTGTCAGCCCCATCCAGTCATAAGTTATATTCCACAAAATCAAACCAAAATCTGCGAAATTTCAAACAACCGCGCACACTGCAGCTTCCTCCTCCCATCAGGACCTCATGTTAGAGCCACAAAGTGAAACCAGGGAAACTGTCTGTGGTGGTTTTCAGGTTTTGTTTTTACTTTATTTATGTGTTTAGTTTGTTTATTGTGTGTTTTTTATGAAGTCCGCTTCAGTCAGATTTATTCTCTATCCAGGTTTTCAGGCCTCACACATGAAAGCAGTTTTTTTTTAACAACGCAAACCTTATTAATGCTTTTTTTTACACAATTCTTAAATGGAACATTTAAATTATAATGCGTCTAAAACACAAATGTTACGGCCACACTGAAGGCGTTACATTTTGTCCTGACACGCCAGACTGGTTTAACACATCTATAATCTTAAGAGTCCCTTGATCAAAATTTGTGAAGATCTGAAGTATCTTGTGATCATTTAGAGTAAAATAATCAACATCTTCAATAAAAAAAATCATTTTAAAGGTTTCTTTTCTTCAGATTAATTGTTTCAGCATCTTTTACATTCTCTTTTGTTGACAGAGCCCGATTTTCCCAGCAACACCTGAAGGCAGCGAACCGGTCCCCCCCCCCCCATCCTCCTCTCTCTCCTCTTGTAATGCTCAGATTTTCCTCTGCGACGTCTCCAGCAGCAGCCCGAGACGTGGAGCTGGATGCGGAGCATTGTTCCACGTCTGGAAGAGATCTGCAGCTGGATGTGAGGCGCCTCCGTGTGATGCAGCTGTGTGATGGGAGGACACGATGGGAAACAAGCAGACGACCTTCACAGAGGAGCAGCTGGAGGCGTATCAGGTGACAGGTGTTACCAGACAGGTTCTTGTCCTTTAGAGGCGTTGAGGTGAAGCAGCGTTCCCTCCATGCAGGAAGAGAGAGAACATGGAACTCTCAGGGAGAACCAGGCAGCTGATTGGCTAAACTTCATTATTCCTCTGCAGCCTAAACTCATCCTGTTTATCTGTTTGTGTGTTTACAGGACTGCACCTTCTTCACCCGGAAGGAGATCCTGAGGTGAGTTCATACCTTTATCACTGATGAAGAGGAGCAGCTGCAGGATTTATTCCCAAAAGTTCCGAGTTCTGTTGGTCTTTGAAGCAAAATGATGCCTAAAAGATCCGGATCTCCACTGATAGAAACAGAAAAGATTAATCTGGTCTGAAATGAGGTGTTTCTGGTGGCTCGGATCAGCTCTACCTGGAGGCAGCAGGTGGAGCTGATCTGATCCATCCTCTGCTGTTTGCAGTCTACATGGACGGTACCGTGAGCTGGCTCCACACCTGGTTCCGCTGGACTACACCAACAACCCAGACATCAAAGTCCCAGCGACACTCATCGTCACCATGCCTGAACTGAAGGTACACCTGCTACAGGAGCCCTACAGGGACACAAGGGAAGCCACTGACCAACAACCAGACCCGGACCTGGTTCTGTCTGGCTTCCATTTGAGTCTCAGACCTGCTCGTTGTTTGGATCTCAGGTTCTCGTGTTGTTCTGTTTGTGGTGACAGGAGAATCCATTCAGAGACAGAATTGTGGAGACATTTTCCGAGGACGGACAGGGGAACATGAGCTTCACTGACTTTGTCGACATGTTTTCTGCTCTCTGTGAAGCTGCACCAAGAGAGCTGAAGACCATTTATGCATTCAAGATCTACGGTAAGGTTCTGGCTCTCGCACTCACACAACCACGATCGGTCCTCTGAAATAGAATCGTTAAAAACTCTCCCTGATCCAGACCGGTCTGGTGCTCTGAGGTTCTATTCCTCCTGAACCAGCTTCCTTAAAGCTAACGGAGCTTAAACAGACCTTTGTTCTTCTCGTGCCTTTGCTCCTCAAACAGGAACCTGCATCTGAGGTGGGGTTAAGGTGGTGTCCTTCAGGACAATCACTCACGAGGTGCCACAAGGCTCAGTGCCAGGGCTCCTTCTCTTTAGATGGCCCACCTCATTCTCCTGGCCGTCTGATCACAGAGCTTCTAATTTCATTGAGTTTGAAAAGATCAGCTGATAAGCTCAAAAAAAAAATAAAATCCCTGAGCAGAACCAGTGTCCCCAATCAGGACCGGTTCTGGTTCTGTTCTGATAAACCTGCTGTTGTTAAAGAGCTCAAAAACATCAGAAATAGAAATAAGTAACCAGCAGGTTGAAGGCTCACGTCCTGCTCAGTCTGCCACAGTTGTTGTGTCCTTGAGCAAGGCACTTCAACTTCCTGCCTGTTGGTGCTGGTTGGAGGGAACAGAGGGTGCCTGGTGTGTTTTATCAGCCTCACTGCCAGAGTGTGAGTGCGAATGTGTGTGTGTGAGTGTGTGTGTGTGCATAGATGAATGACTATTGTTGTAAAGTGCCTTGGGGGGTTCTTGGACTCTGGAAGGTGCAGCAGTAGCTCAGGTGGTAGAGCGGGTTGCCTCATGATCGGAGGGTCACGGGTTCCAGTCCAGCTCCCGCCAGGGGTATCCTGCTGTTGTGTCCTTGGGCAAGACACTTCACCCAACTTGCCTGTGTTAGTGGTGGTCAGAGGGGCCGACGGCGCCAAATGGCAGCCTCGCCTCTGTCAGACCTCCCCAGGGCGGCTGTGGCTACAAGTAGCTTACCATCACTAGCAGTGTGTGAATGTGAGAGTGTGTGAAAGCGTCTTTGGGTGTCTGGAAAAGCGCTGTATAAGTTCAATGCATTATTATCATTATTATTATTATTATTATTATTATTATATACTTACAGACCATTTTACCATTTACAGTAATAAAGTAAGAACTCAGAACTGACCTTCTGCCTGTTTCTGCTCCAGACTTTAACAGAGATAGCTTCATCTGTAAGGAGGACCTTAAGAAGACCCTGAACAAGCTCACCAAAGGAGAGCTGACCCCCGAGGAGGTCACGCTGGTCTGTGATAAGGCCGTGGAGGAAGCTGACCTCGACGGAGACGGCAAGCTCTCCTTTGCAGATTTTGAGAACATGATCTCCAAAGCTCCTGACTTCCTGAGGTGACGTTACTGTTTTTATCTTCTTGATAAATGACTCACACTTGTATCGCACCTTTCAGAGTCAGAGGACTCCAAAGTGCATTACACTACAGTGTATCATTCATCCATTCACACACTGGTGGTGGTGAGACACATTATAGCCCCAGCTGCCCTGGGGTGCACTGACACCAGTTCCTCCAACCACCACCAGCAGGCGGGGAGGGTTAAGTGTCTTGCCCAAGGACACCACAGCAGCATCATCTGCCAGGAGCTGGGATTTATTCTGCAACCCTCCGATTAACCCGCTCCATCCCCTGAGCTACTGCTGCCCATTTAAGTTTTCACACAAACACAAGTCAGACAAGGAACCCAGACGGGGGTGAAATGGTCTTCAGAACACGCTAAAACATAAACGAGGTGAAACGTTACCTGCAATTAAAGAGATGAATGTTAAAAATGAACAAATCTGAAACAACAAAAACCATCTGACAGGAAGCTCCAGTCAGAAGAACCCTGCAGCTCTGTTTCTAATCTGGGTTATGGGTGATAATATTATTATTGGTGTAATCTGAAGCCGCTGAGCACCTCAGCAGCCTCAGCAGCTTCAGAGCAGCACAGCGGGGGCGGAGCCACAGTAATGGGACCAGAGCAGGGCAGTGAAGTGGAACGCTCCAGCCAAGACTATCTGAGCAGGAGGTGAGAGGCGGCATGGAGCAAGAACATCAGATCTATAATCTGCTGATAACGGTGACCGGTGGTCCGAGGGGCCAGCAGAAAACCCAGAACACAATCGGATCAGAACCGGGAGCCAGACCCCGTAAACCCGCAGACCGAGGTCCTGAAGCTGCAGAGATAAAACCATTTATTGCTGACCATCCATCAAAGCTTCACAGGGAGGGGAGGGGGAGGCTGGAGGTGCTGTCACCATAGAAACCAGGTGGAATGAGAGAGCAGCCATTTGAACTGGTCACATGGTTCCAGGAATGCAGCAGGATCACCTGCTGAGTCACTCTGATGTTCATTATAAATGGTAAAGTTTTGAATAAAAATTCTTTCAGTCAGAAAACATTTCCATTCTCGGAGATGCCGAAGGTTCTCCTCCGCTTTGACGAGGAACTGGGAGGAAAGCCACAGCAGATTCGAGCCGCCGTTTCCCACTAACCACGTGTTCCTGAGTCAGTAAATCAGGCTTGAAGGGGATTTGCATTACGGTGCGTTCAGGAGCATTCAGCCAATGCCCAGTGAGAGTCTTGGGCACGTTCCCTTGTCACGTTCTGTTCGGTTCTGAGATCAGAGTTTATTTTACACATTTTGAACACTTGTGAATTGTTTTTTTATTCAAAAATTAGAAAAATAAACACAAACAAATAAAGTATACATAAACATGTTGAAAAATACAGTACCACATTTGAATGAAAAGGAGCAGATAGAAGAAAATAATCTTATAATAAGAAAACTATCTGCCAAGCATACACAACATTATAACCTCCGTCAATTTAAAGCAGTAAAAGAATTTCTGTTTGGTGTTTGTCCGTCATTTGTGTTTTGCTTCGTATTAAAGATGGCGTTTTAATTTGACTAATAAACAGGTTGTTGGTGCGTTGCCTGAAACCTGAGTTGTGTATGATTCTAACAGCTTTTATGTAGACTTAAAAGAGGCTTGTTGTTTTTAGTCGTGCAGGGTTAGGGTTGCCCCGTAGATCCACCCAGTATTCTTCAGAAAGCTGAATTGTCTCGGCGCGTGAACACAGTGAAGCTGGATTGCTCTCAGATGGTGTAAAAAAAAAATATATATATACGAATATATGCATGCAAATTAATTTCTACTGGATGAAATGTAAATCAGTTTGTGTTTTTGTTTTCCTGCCGTCCAGAATAATGTCTTAAGGTGTTTAGTGACAGGTTGTTTACAGAGCCTGATCTCATCTGTGACTCATCTTCCTGTGAGATAAGTCCAGTGATGGTCATGTCGTCCGCAAATGTAATGATTGTGCTTGATGAGCGAGTCAGTGTGCAGTTGTGGGTGTGCAGAGAATAGATGAGAGAGCTCAGCACACAGCCCTGTGGGGCGCCAGGGCTGAGAGGGATAGAGGAGGAGGTGTAGGGGCCAGTTTAGTGAGGAGGCCTTGATCTTGATGCAGGTGTGTGTGTCTGTATGTATGTGTGTGTGTGTGTGTGTGTATGTATGTGTGTGTGTGTGTGGGGGGGGGGGCAGCTTATTAATAAAAATGCTTAGTAAAGAGCTTTCTCCATGCTTTCCACACGACTCAGGGCAGAGAGGGAAGGGACGGCTATGGCGTCCTCAGTGGACATGTTGGCTCTGTAGGTGAGCTGATGTGTGTGTGTGTGTGGGGGGGGGGGAGGGGGGCAGGGGGGCGTGAAGTGTCAGTCTCTCAAAACACGTCTTTATTACTGAAGTCTGTCGTCCTGCTGAACAGCCGAGGCTGGTTTTTGGGGGCTGGGAGTTTGAAGGTGAAGTGACCATATCGGACTGTTTGTTTTGAATTCAGTTGACTGAGGAGGACCAGCTAGATCAGACCAGCTAAGTTTGAAGCGTTTATGATAACCGAACTACAAAGGAGCAGCTTTGTGACGTAAATCAGACGACGAGCCAAAAGGAGGCCGGTGATGTTTAACAAACTTCAACCGTTTTCTGTGTTTAATTGATAAACAGTCCAGTTTTATTTTGAGTTGAGGGCTTATTTTGTTCTGAAAGCTGTAGAATTATTGTTCTTATGAATCAGCTGCTTTCAGACTCCTGGAGAGGAAGCATATTTAGGATGAAGTTTAAAATCAGAAACAAAACATTTTCATTCAGCAGGCGGCGTAGTTTCACGTTTGAATTGTGCCAATCCTGAGTTTTAAGAGAACACTCATGTTTGTTTATTTGTTTGTTTATGCAGTAACTTCCACATACGAATATGAGACCACCACACAAAGATCTTGTGGAGGGCAGATGTCTCCCCTGGACCTATTTCTGCCTCGACCCAGTGCCTGTCCTTTCTACCAAGCGTCTCGTTCCTCTGCAGACTGAGATTGGGACTCTGAGCAGCACAGGAGACGGTTCTGGATGTTGTTCCTGCACAAAGCTGCTCTCTGGACTGAATTTGTGTCCTGTCAGACCGACTTTGACACAAACCTGGAGGACCGTGCTGCACAGCTGGACTTTCCCATGCTTCTCAGTCTGTCTCAGACCGGACTCTTCTCTAAAAGCACATGTTTAAAGGGCAAACAGCGAGGAGCTATGCAATCTTTCTTTCTGATGTGCATGCTGTAAATAACTTCCAGCTAGTGAGTTTGTACTTGTGCTTTAGTGATGCGTTCAGGTGCACACTGACAATCATAGTGAACTGTAGCTCAGTTGATAGAAGGGCTCTCTGTCATCTCACCTGCTTCCACTAGTCTCCTCCTGACAGGTAACTCATCTAAAGGCTTCTACTCATTTAACTCTGGATGTTTTCTGGCTCGCATCAAATAAAAACGATTTTCTGTCTCAGTGCTTCACCAAACTTCTTATGTTTATGTGCTTAGCAGACAAAAGCGACTTACATTTTTTTAACCTATAGGGCATCTTGTGGTCTGTGGGGGAAACCAGAGCACCCGGAGAAAACCCACGCATGCATGGGGAGAACACGCAACTCCACGCAGAAAGGCCGCAGCCGAGTTTTGATCCTGCGACCTTCGTGTTGCGAGGCAACAGTGCTAACCACTGCGCCACCATGCAGCCCCAGAGAAAAGAAAAACGGTTTCAGGATCCTCCGAGAGGATCTTCATCAACCCCTCAGACAGCTGAAAAGTGTGCTGGTGAGGAGGTCTGAGGGGCTGAAGGACTCACACATCTGGTCCAGAACCTAACCAGGTCACCGATGGGTCCAAACGGTTTAAAAGTTCTAGAATGGAACAAATTAATAAGTTGTAAACTAAAATATCTAAACTGTAACACACCCTTAGCTACAGTGCTACTTGTAATAACTTTGACTGATGCTAAACTGTTAATATATCCATAACAGTGAAGATACCGAGAACCGCCTACATGTTCAGTTCATTTTTCTCTCCTTCCGAGTATTCCCGCCACACACTCCATTTCACCATCTCCCCACTAGGTGGCACCATGGTACTACCAAATATATAAACTGGGCCCGGCTGAACAGTACATTGTTTCATCCCTCTAATACCTAATATATATATATATATATATCACTATATTACACTCCTCCCCCTTTAACCATGAAGTCCCCCCTAATGCATCACACGTTTTAAATAACATTAACCGTAGCCAAATTCCGGCCAAAACACAAAGCCTAAACATACTCCATCTCTGCTGCTAATGCCACAGATTTAACTTATACATTTTCATTTTCCAACAGGAACTCTTTTTTTTTTACATTTTCCAATAGGAACTCTTTTTTTTCAATTGCCAACAGGAACTCTTTTATTTTATTTTATTTTTTTCATTTTCCACAGCTCAACCTGTTCAGTCGTTTGGGAGGTGCCCTCTCCCTCCGAGGGTATCTGCGCTCCAACACCTCAGTGGACCTGGCTGCACTGTTGGCAGGTGTCACTGACTTGTCAGCAGCCGCTGAAACCGGTAACGGTGTTACGGGCATGTCCTTAGCCTGCGTCTGTGGTAATGGTGTAGCTTCAGGTGAGTGCGGGCTACCACCTACTGCTCCAGGTGTGCCTTTCCCCCCCAAATCTGGCTCGGCCACTGCAGGACAGTTATCTTGAACCCCCGTCTGCTGCTCCTGGAACTCCATTGTCTCTGGACTGGATGGCCGCTTATACAGCAGATGATCAATGTGCACTGACCGTCGATTTACTCCGTTCCACACCCAGTAAGTGACTGGTCCCAGTCGCTTTTCCACGATTCCCTCAGTCCATCTCTCCCTTCCTCCGCGGAAATTTCGGATCAGAACTGAGTCCCCCTCTGACAGATGTCTCAACGTGGAGGCTGGTCGGTCATGGTAGTATTTCTGTTTCTGTTGTTTGCCTTCCACAACTTTAGCAAGATCTGGTTTCAGCAGGGAGAATCTGGTCCTAATCTGACGTTTTAGGAACAGTTCAGCGGGCGTACGTCCTGTAACACTGTGTGGTGTACACCTGTAAGAAAATAGGAAGTTTGCAAGCCTGTGTTGCAGTGTTATAGTGATATTTTGCTTCTTCTCATCCAGCACCTGCTTCAGCAACGACGCCTTCATGGCCTGGACGGCCCATTCTGCAGCTCTATTCGAAGCGGGATGGTAAGCCGGTACCAAGGTTTGTTTGATGCCGTTGTTCTGCAGAAATTGTGGGCCGTTGTCTGAAACAATCTCCTCAGGGAGACCGTAGGAAGAGAAAATGTTTCGCAGCACCTCAATCGTTTTGGCTGCGGTGGTAGTTTTCATTTGGATCACCTCCAGCCATTTTGAATGACTGTCCACTAACACAAGGAAATTGTGCTGCTCTTTCTCTGCGAAGTCAACATGTATCCTCTGCCACACTCTGGTAGGCCACTGCCAGCAGTGTAGAGGTGCTGTTTCTGGAAGTTTCCTCACACTTTGACACGCGTTACATTGTTGTATTGCATGTTCTATGTCTTTATCCAGCTGAGGCCACCACAAGTAGCTCCTCGCCAAGTTTTTCGTTTTGCTTCCTCCAGGGTGTCCTTGGTGTAGGTCGTGCAGTAGTTGTTCTCGGTGTGCTGGTGGAATGATAACTCGAATTCCCCATAAAATGCACCCTTGTTCCACTGACAGTTCATTCCTTCGGGTGAAGTATGGTTTTAGTGTCTCGTCTTTGATGTAGTTCGGCCAACCCATCCGAGTCAGTTCCAGTACTTTACGCAGGACGGGATCTTTGAGAGTGTTTTGCACAATCTCAGTAGCCTGTACAGGAAGTTCATCTACTACTGAGAAATAGAAAATTCTGTTCTCCTCTGCGGTATTATCCCTTCCCTTTTTTGGAAGTCTAGACAATGCATCTGCGTTTGCATTCTCCGCCGACGTCCTGTACTCTATACTGTAGTCATACGCCATCAGTCTCAACGCCCATCGCTGCATCCGCAATGCAGCTAAAGTGGTAATTTTGGACTTGGGTCCCAGGATGGCAAGGAGTGGTTTGTGGTCAGTTATTAAACTGAATTTTCTACCATACAGATACTTATGAAATTTGGTCACGCTGAATATTATGGCCAATGCCTCTTTCTCGATCTGACTGTATTTGCTTTCTGCCTCAGTCAAGGTACGTGATGCAAAAGCGATTGGTTTCTCGTCTCCATTTTCCATGATATGCGACATGACTGCCCCTATCCCATAAGGGGATGCGTCGCAAGCTAGCCTCAGGGGTTTCTTGGTGTCATAGTGAACCACTACTGAGCTCTTTACTAGTTGTTCTTTTGCATTATTAAATGCTGTCGTGCACTCTGGTGTTCAATCCCAGTGTACTTCTTTCTTTAAAAGTTGGTGTAGCGGTTGTAGAATGGTTGACAGGTATTTCATGAACCGGCCATAGTTGTTTAAAAGCCCTAAAAATGACCGTAGCTCTGTGACGTTTGAGGGCTGGGGTGCATTTACTATGGCAGCTACCTTTGTCTCCGTTGGATGTAATCCTTCTCTGTCAATCAGGTGGCCCAGGTACTCCACTTTCTCCTGCATGAAAGTACATTTTTCTATTTTCCCTCTCACCCCATAGTTCTCTAAACGGCTCAGCACCTCCTTTAAGTTCCTCAGGTGTTCCTCTCTGGTTCTTCCCGTAATAAGTATGTCATCCAGGAAACAGGTCACATGCTCCAAGCCTGGTAGGATCTGGTCCATCACATTCTGGAACATAGAGGGTGCACTAGACACACCGTAGGATAGTCTATGATAAGCATATAGCCCCTTGTGAGTATTTATAACTAAATACTTCTCTGAGTTTTTCTCTAGCACCAGCTGTTGGTAGGCATGCGACAGGTCTAATTTGCTGAAAAGAGTGCCCCCAGCTAGAGTGGCAAAAAGGTCTTCAACCGTAGGTAACAGATGGCTCCCCTCTTCCACGCTCTGATTTACTGTGACCTTATAGTCACCACAAATGCGGATGGACTTGTCCGATTTTGGCACCACTACTATTGGGGCAGCCCACTGGCTATGTCCTATCTGAGATAACACCGCCTTTTTCTAACCGGTTTAACTCCTTTTCGACTGCCTCTTTCAGTGCATATGGCACTGGTCTTGCCTTCCTGAAAACTGGTTTTGTATCGGGCTTTACTGTGATGCAGGCCTTAAACTTTCGGCTAGTACCCGGCTCCTCTGAAAACACGGCGGTGTGTCTCTGTAACACTGTCTCTACATCTGTATCATTACTGCCCCCTACTGGTAACACTGAGAATATTCCTGCCCAGTCAAGTTTGAAACTTGTGAGCCAGTTATGGCCCAGGAGGGCCGGTCTGTCACCTTTCACTATCACCAGAGGGAAAACACCACTCTGGTTCTCATATTTAGCCTTAACGGTCACTGTACCCAGTAAGGGTATGTTCTCACCCGAAAAGGTTGACAGCCGCACTTTCGTTGCTTCCAGGGGCAGATGAGAAAGATGTTTCTTATACACTATCTCTGGAACCAGTGTTACTGCCGCTCCTGTGTCAACTTGCATGTCTATAGGGGTTTCTTCTAATTTCACAGTTATTTAATGTCCTTGTTCCCCTTCCCCACAGTATAAGTGGAATACACCGTGTTCATGAACAGTTCCTGCTCAGCTTCACTTCTTGCCGTGTCCTTTGGACTGCTGGTCTCAGCCACATACTGTGTGTTTCCCAGCCATTTTTTTGTTTTGCACATCCTTGCTATGTGTCCCACCCTTGAACACTTCCGTCATGTCTCTGTTTTAAATCTGCATCCTTGTGCTGCATGATCGTTACCACCACATCAGTAACAGGGCTGGTGCATTGTTCTCTGTGGGAGGGAATGTTCACTTTTGACCCTACTTTTCCACCCGCTACCTGCTGGGTTGGTTTGCCATGGACTTTTAGTTTCTCTCCTTTTGTCTATCTTATTCACAGTTGAATGGCCTTTTAGGTTACTTGCAAACTCCATCGTATTCTTTGATGCCATTTCCATCGATAGAGCCAGTTCACATGCTTTTGCAAATGTCAAATCCTGTTCAGTGAGCAATTTTCTCTGAATAGCCTCCACCTTTAACCCACTGACGAATCTGTCCCTCAGTGCTTCGTCTAAATCAGTGGTTCCCAAACTTATTTAGCCGCTCACCCCCTTCTATGTCCCGACCATGTTGACGCACCCCCCCGCCCCACATCAGGGCATGGCTATATATATATATATATATATATATATATATATATATATATATATATATATATATATATATATATATATATATATATATATATATATATATATATATATCAGACGTCACGATAAACCAGGGGTCGGCAACCTGTTCCCATCAAAGAGCCATTATTACCCATTTCCCACAGTAAAGAAAACACCGCAGCAGCCGCGGCGTTGTGGACGGGGCCTACCCTCA